CTTGCTTTATCAAATGCGCTTTATATCGATTCTGCTTTCAAAAACTATCATATTCTAATTTGAATGGGAAAACTGACAGATAAGAGCCAAGATATTAATGCGCAGACTTATTGTAGTTAAATTTTATTAACAAATGTGCATTAAAAATGATCCTAATTTAAAGAAAATCGTTAAGACATACATACGATATACATAGAATTAGGAATACATCCAAAAATCATTCATTTTTTATTACTTGATATTGAAAAATATATAATTATATTTAATAAAAAATTGGTGTTTTATCAATCTTAATATACATATATAAAAACATCAAAAATTTTTTCGAGTACTTAAATTTCGCAGCATCGTAATGTATATATATAGAGTATTCAAAAATACCATTCAATATTTATATGGTAGATAGAACACACTGTACTGAGTAAAAAAACCTTAGTAAACATAGATCGAAAGCTCAATCGTTTCTGAGATATAAACATTTTTGTATGTTAACATCATGATTGATTTACTGGCTTCTACGTGTCGCAATGTTTACCTCAATGTTTATAAACCGCGTTCTGAATATCCTCATTCAATTTCTATACATACTTCATAACAGAAGATTTTACCGGCGATCAGTCAGTTGTTATCAACCGGCGATTGCGGATCTTTGCGATTTGGTGATTACACAGTTACAAAGTATCGTGCTAAAAATGTCAGCGTATTATTCTAATGAAGAAATGGCAGATATTTTATGTATGGTCGTCGAAGACAAATTATCTTCTTCTCTTCGCATGCGACACGTAGACGCAAGTAAGTCAATCATGATGCTAAAATACAAAAATGCTTATATCTCAAAAACGGTTAAGCTTTCGACTTATACTTACTAAGATTTTTTTACTCACTTATATAAATATTGAATGATTTTTTGAACACTCTGTATATTCCTTTAAGTTTCAAGTAAAATTCCAATAAAATTTCCAAGATTTAAAAATTATCTCGATTATTACAATCCACGAGAGCCTTGGGTATTGGGACATCTTCACCTGAAGATGTTTACGAAATTTATGAATGTCGGTAGTATTTACGGGGAACTTCACAAGAATGAACAGGGGGAGAGGCTTTGCCTCTCGCCCACGCTTAAAAGTCGTAAACAGACTTTCGTTGTAAAAACAATGGATTAGTACAGCGTAAACTTACTATACGAGTGAAGCGAGGGGGGGATTTAAGGCGGGAGGAGGCACGAACCAAGCATCCATCTCTTCCGTGGCAGCGGCACTGTCGTGTCTGTGTAGGGCGTTTACACACTTCCTCAGCCCGACAAATAATTGTTAGAAAACAACATTTGCGGGTCTGAAAAAATATGCGAGGTACAAGTGGCTGAATCGGGAATCGAACCCGAGTCTTTCGCTTTCCGCTCAATGGATGCAGTGCCGATTGTCACGGAGAGACGAAATCCCCAGCACGTCTCCAGATCGGTCCAAATCATAACGATTGAAAATTGGCGCCCGTAGCCGCTCAGCGATGAGTCTTGACTCACCACCAGTATGAATGGAAGCCTCCTTGAGTAGTCCATCCTAAACCACTACGCCTAAGCAGCCCCCTCTTCTGCTCCCAATTAATAATACGATCTTCCATCGTCACCACGTGGTGGATCTAGTGGACAGATTACCAGCACTTACGCTGGCACAGATGTACACCGCAGAGTGAAGCGAGGGGGGGGAGCCTTGGGTATTGGGACATCTCCACCTGAAGATGTTTACGAAATTTATGAATGTCGGTAGTATTTACGGGGAACTTCACAAGAATGAAAGAAAAACCATCAATCTCGGTGTCCCAGTTTCGTCCTGCGGTAGAAGGCGGCGCTAACCGAGCGGACTCGAGGACGAGAATCTCTCCGTCCGATGCCGTTTATGAGGGAACTGTTCTCAAACTGTTTTGTAAGAAAGATAAATAGGCGCTTTTGATAAAACTCGCCTGACACACCCGGGCCCGAAGCATTGAATTTCATTATCGTGCGAGTCTTGATTTATCGCTTACGCCCGCCTTATTCTCAGACGCGACTCGTCGTCCTCTCTTACATCCTATCTTACGGTAACCCCCTCGACGATCTATTTCGCGAAACGCGATAACAAATTGCCGATGGTTTACGTATCTAAGGGTCTCGAGGAATCCGCGGTCGGTATCACTTCTACAACGATAAAAATCGTAGCTTTCGGGAACGGTGTTACATTTTTCAGACCGTAATCACCGGGATGATTTTGAATTTCGCTCTCTCCACGTACAGTTGCCCTTTTTCCGTTTTCAAAATTTCAGTCTGCGGCCGGCCGTTAGAAATGCAATCGCCGAGAGGATCGAGATGCATTCGCGCGTGTTGAATAATCAAACGAAAAAATTGGCTCGCCGTAAATGTTCGTAGGATAGCCACAACTGTTATCCTACCAACGTCAAACCTTCCTCTCTCTTCCCCCTACGTTTTTTTTCCTCTCCTTTCCTCTTTCTCTCTCCTCCTCCCCCCTTACTCTGCACATCTTCTGACGTTCTCTCATAGTCTGTCATAAAACTTTCATAACTTTCGGTATTTCCACGAGCAGCCTTTTGCCAGTCCGCTCATGCGAGTCGCTGGATACGACCCCTCTTTTCCTTAAGTAAGGGAACGATGGGAGGATGAACGAGACGTGTCGAGAGTAAAAATATCGCGCGGTTAACTCCCGCAGGGGCACATCGCGGCCAACTTGGAAGAGTCGTAATTTGAATATTTTGTTCGACGGTCGATGCGTATCGCCGGAATTGGTTTTTAACTAGCGTCTCCCTTCGCTCTAAAATCAAGGGTACATGATTTAGAATCGAGAATGGAAATGTCAAGAGAGAAATATGCTTCTGTGACGAAAACGGTTCGCGCCGTATCGATTATATTTAAGTTTGATATGGCTTTTATTTACATAAAATATTTAATATAATTATAATTTTTTATAATTATGTAATTTTCTGCTAATTAAAATATTTCTAGATTTAATAACCGCTATATTGTGTGCGTACTACGTACTGCTACTCTACATTGTTCCGGTACTAAAATTTTTTGAATATCTACCTTTGCTGCGAACGCGAAGGCGCGAGCGGTTCATAAATTCGCAAATAGCCGCAAACAATTCAACATGCTATTCAACGCGACGACGCAACGCATCGGCTGCACCAGGCAGTCGCAGCGCTGACTGCATCGACGGCAAACATTCCGGTTAAGCAATCGTCACACCAAATTCGACAATGACATTTCGATCAACGACAATGTCAAGAATGTCTTTCATATTGAGCTCGAAATAATTTAGATAGCGATGATCATTTCATGCGCGTTTTTCAGATATTAAAAATATTAGACTCGATTGAATCTTTCGCGGAATGTAATGAAATATTTTTCGTATTGATTAATTATCGATTAATACCCTCGTCATATTTTTCGAATGATCATGGTCGCGCGAGAGACGAAACGCTATGGGTCTTGAAACGGATGAAAGGTGATTCAGAGCGACAAAGCGCAAAGTTGGATCGAATAGCCATAGTATATGGTTTCTGTCGTTACTGTCGCGCAACTGCGTTCGTAATACCTTTTGCAGGCTGCAGCCGTCGCTCTTGCAACCCATTAAATAACTTCGTGTCTCGAATATCGAAATGGAGCTATGCAGGTAGTGCGATTCGTTGCGATCGAATGTTCCATATACGGCGACAAATCATAGCTCACACACTTCGTCGTCGTTAGCGATATTTATTCTTTAAAATCCCCTGGCACGATAAATCAGAGCATATATGTATAAATTACATCTGATACCATTTAAAGTGTTTTTCTGTCGATCCTATTTTTTCATCATTCTTTATCTGCTGTTCTTCAATTATAATTATTATTACCGTTTACATAACGATAATAATTTGATATGGCAGATCTTGTGGAAAGAGAAAGACCGCGGATGAATTAAAGAGCGAGAATTTTTACAATATTTTAGAACTTTTAATTCGTTTTCTCTCTCTCTTCCTCTCCGTGCGCACTCCCACCTATTTTCATTTCATTATCAAACCGAATCGAATAAAAGCGCCATTTCGTTATTAAAGCGAATTTTCGTCGATTGTGAAAATACAGAAGGCAGCTAATAACTGCGAGGAATATAAATCCCTCGAATTAATTTCGTATCGTACTTATTCGGTAAAACTGACTTCAGACGCGAATAATGTGCAAAAGAAAAACACGTTACCTCGGGTCGTGCTCGTGTGCTTAATTAGCGCTTTCCTCCATTTTGCTATATAACTTATTGCCGCTCTTAATCTTAAGAGATAATATCTCTGGTGTCGGTTTTAAAGTGTGTACTTAAGCATATGGCGCGCTTTACCGATGAATTACGCCATCTCATAGTTTGCGTTGACCACTGACCTGCATATTGCGCGTATATATTTTCCTCGGCTTCGTATTACCTCCGGACGGAAATTTGATTCCTCGTGGCGTTGTCGGTCATTGGATGGGGGGATAACTTAAAAGTTATCCGGTACTGACCGCAAGAAAGGGAGAGACGGAGAGATAAGAGGAGCGACGGGTTGCAATCGGAGAACTTGCGATTTACCGTAGTAATTACCAAAATTACTGCACCGCATAATGACGGTAATTATCGCCGTAATTCGTGGTAATTGCCGCGGCAATTACTGGACTGAAATCCTGAAGACCGATGGAAAGGCCGGCAGGTGGTTGCGTCGACAGTGGCGATCACTTTTCCTCCTTTTCTGTGCTTGGATTTTGTTTCCCTCTGTCCATTATTGATTTTGATGTGAGAAAATGGACGAGGAATTATCGCCTTTACTTTCAAGGTTAATCTCGAAACAGATGTTGCTTTCGTATTGAAATTTTACGTCCAGTTTACCACTTTTACACGAATGACAGTGATCTTAAAATCTAACCTTTAAATTTTTGCAATTACAATTGAATATTAAATTTCTTCACTATGCAATTTCACAATATTTTAATTGCTATTATTTTGTTGCAGGTCTGAATCGTGAGAAAGGTCCAGTACTTTTGGTGAGTTAATTGATTTATTTATGCATAGAAAGAGATAAAAGGGTCGGAGCAGAGTCGTTTTTGACACTATTCGGCCTTCAAACCATTTCTTTCCACGTTCTTTTCTCGAATATGATGGGAGGAACGATAGAAAAACGACAATGATTCTTTTTAATGACCGCACGACGGGCCTTGAGGAGATAGAGACCGCGTATATTCAGACGCGACGCGTCCTTCGCAACTCTCGGGGAATCAAAATCGCCGTCCTCTTTCTCTTCCTAATGACTCGCGAAAAATTTCAATGCGTCTAAATGGCTCGCCTTTTCATATTGAATAATAAATGACGGCCGACGCCGTTGGAAGGCTAGGTCGACGCGACGCCGGCTGATGAGACGTCGCCGAACGAGGACGCTAGGTGAACTATCTATGTACGCTGGTCGCTTCTGGCAATTCGGAATGATTTTGTATTCATCATCCGAAAAAAAATTCCATTTCTCAGTGTCGCGCGCGCGAGGCCATGAAATGTCCGGTTTGATAGAGCAGATAGTCCGAGGATATACGTCAAAGTTACCGGGAAGTTTGTCACAGAAATGACTCTGATCGGCGATTTTTCGTATGCTTTTCCTCGCTCACGTCATACTTTCTCTGGTTTTTTTTTTTTTTTTTACGTAACAGCAAGTGGACAAATTCAAAAAGAGAGAATTTTTATAATATTCGCTGAACAGATTTTATAATTTATACTGAACAGTCGCAACATATATTACTATGATTATATATCGGCTGATGACAACACCAGTCGTATCGTTGGCCATGTGAATATGCGGAGATCGCCGAAACTTTGCTGAAATTGAGATCGATAGCGTGATATTTATTTCGATTTCCGGAATGAGACGAATCTATTTATTTACCTATGGAGAGGAGGATCTATATAAGGGTGGAAAGTGGCGACCGGCGCCAGCGACGACGTATCCGTCCTAGGAGTCTTCCTACGAGACGGATCGCCGTCCTGGGATCGCGCCACCGAATGACAGCCACGAACTCGTCTCTTTCCGCCTACATCGATTTTCGAGCTAATAAAGTTTATACAAGGGTCGCAAAAGTCGCAAGAAAGTCCGCAAGTGACGGTATTTTTCTGGTTTTTTTTTTTTTTTTTTACGTAACAGCAAGTGGACAAATTTAAAAAGAGAGAATTTTTATAATATTCGCTGAACAGATTTTATAATTTATACTGAACAGTCGCAACATATATTACTATGATTATATATCGGCTGATGACAACACCAGTCGTATCGTTGGCCATGTGAATATGCGGAGATCGCCGAAACTTTGCTGAAATTGAGATCGATAGCGTGATATTTATTTCGATTTCCGGAATGAGACGAATCTATTTATTTACCTATGGAGAGGAGGATCTATATAAGGGTGGAAAGTGGCGACCGGCGCCAGCGACGACGTATCCGTCCTAGGAGTCTTCCTACGAGACGGATCGCCGTCCTGGGATCGCGCCACCGAATGACAGCCACGAACTCGTCTCTTTCCGCCTACATCGATTTTCGAGCTAATAAAGTTTATACAAGGGTCGCAAAAGTCGCAAGAAAGTCCGCAAGTGACGGTATTTTTTCCGTTTGTCGCCCGAACCTTTTTAATTTCGTTCGCACGCAATGAATTTCAGATCAGCGGTTAATTTTTCCGCTTCATCTCTCTCGCGGGGAATAAATAATGATCCGTCGCTATTTCATTAACGGCCAACGACACGGGAAGTTCCGACAAGTCGCGACTTTGGCGGTTTAATGAAAGCTATTGTTCGCCTCGTTTCAACTTTAAGCTCGAAAATCCTGCGCACGGATTTGCAACTGCTTGAATTTAAACTAGCGCGTAACTCATCCAGCAGAGCGAATTCGCTGGCTGCTATCGATTGCGTGTTCTTTTACCAATTAGATGCATCTCTACCGCGGGATACATGGATGGAAAAACAGTTTTATTTATGTTATACAATTTGTGCGTAGCGTATAGTTGGCGAACTTTGTTTGATAATGTTTACAAACATGAATCACGGTTAATCCGATTCCACGATTTCGATCTCTTAATTGGACGCAAATCCCGCGATTCGTCGGGCAAATAATATTTTTTGCCGGCCGTCCGAATGTTATATTTCCCGCGATTGTCGTATAAATGTAATAATCCGGTCACGCCGCGCCCCGCCATGGCGAATTATTGTCCGCCGCGACATACGAAATTCATTCGGACAATTCATTCGCTTTTTATTACGGTCGCGAATTATTATTCTCATTTCGCGAAGCAAGCGAACGAAGGGGGAGGGGGGGGGGGAAGGACGCATCTCTCCTCTCGAGGGAGAATCGCGCTCGGCGTAACGTTTAATCGTCGCGCATATTCGAACGAGAAGGGGACTCCCTCGCGTTATTATTTTCCCATTCGACGACTGTCCCACTCGCGCTTTTATCTTCTCGCCTGTTATCCCTGAAATTGCGGTACATTCGTGCGTGCGGGGGACTCGCGCGTTTTCATACGTGTACAACGCGGGACCGTGCGGTTTTCTATTAAGCCGAGAGTGCGCGTCGCGGCTTTCTATCCGGATTATCCCCGGCGCACAACCCGCACGGGGTACCTTCTCAGAGCGAGCGAGCGAAAACGGGGCTATTACGGCGCACTCGCGGGGGCGGAAACGTCGTGAGAGAGCTGTGCATACGGGGTAAGTTAAATGAAAACATTGGCATAAGCAGCGGCGGTGATTTTCCACAGTGGTGTTCCTTTGCGCGCTCATGATGAATAGAAAAGGCCTTCTTTGTGCTGAAAAAACTCAATTGACCTTTTCGAACGCGAATCTCATCGCTCTTTTCTCGAATACGTTCAGTATTCACGTATAGATGTATTCATCAGTTACGTTGAGTGCTTTACAAAGCGAATTATGAAGAAATTTTTATAGATGATCCTTCTACTTTAAATACGCATGATGCATAAAATTCTTCGTTAATTGTGCCTTCTTGATTCACGTGCTCGAAACAAGCATTGTTAATCTCGCAACGTTAATAAATAATGATTACTTATTAATTTATTCTAGCAATTAACTCTAACATAGTTTTATGTAGAGTAACGGAGAAAATACAACTGTTGATAAAGCTTTATTAGGAATATTTTTATAAAGGATCATACCTTATTATAAGGACACAAAGTGAAAGAAGTAAAAGACAAACATTGTATGATTTGCTCGTAAATTTTACGCTCCAGGCTCGATGAAAACGTGCGTGTTAAAAAATATTTTGTGTATTTATTACCTTTATTTTCTCATTTGCAATAGAGGTTACGTCTTTTCCTTGCTCGCATTTCAATGACGGAGTTATTAAATTCCTCTCAATAGCGTTTCTCGCGTGAATGAACATTATTCATTGAAGATTTATTTCTGCTCCTCCATTGAGCATGCACTGCTGCACGTATATCGATTTTCAATAATAGAGCAGACTGGATTTGCTTGAGATTACAGATACCAAATAGTAGTGTTCGAAATAATATATGGCTACTGTACTTATAGAAAGACACATATTATATTTATACATATTTTATAAAAATATTCACGAATAAAAAAATTACAGTACCATCTATTTGTGCAAGACAGATTTGTATCACGCGTATAATTATTTATGTAGCAATGTCGAAAAATTGTGTTTAACGGAATCCTGTATATCTTATATAAAATATTGCTTAATAAATCGAGCGGCCGTAATGCCAGAAATAACCATAAGAGTTGACAAATGGTCGTAACCGCAATTTATCAAGAGTGGACAAACTTTTATCGGGCTCGTTGGTGCTCGTTCGATCGCGTTCAATGAATAAACGCCGAAACCGATGACATGATACGATTCGATGTACATACTTTGCTAAAAGACGCGGGGAGAGAAGAGGCGAAAGCGGCAATTTTTCTGGAGTGATTTGTGAAAGCGGGGGTAAATGACACGGTGCAATCTCAGGAAAGGGTAGAATGGAGAATGGGAACGGGGTGCGATGCATGTATAGGACGTGTCAAAAGTAATGGCCGGCGTCTGTCAAACGGCGATGGGGTCGAAACGAACAGACTGAATAAAACGACCACGTCTATCCCGTGATTTTAAGCGTCACTCACGTCGCCGTGCACGCGTGACAATACACCATCTACGTTCGCGCCGTTGCATTTCCGCGAGAAGCGTTTCTGAGTGGAAAATATGTATTTTCAATTCGACGATGTCTATCGCAAGAACGGAAGAGATTTCGTGTTCATAGAATTTTCCCGTCTCTCGGATATTACGCGGGATATAACTTGACAAAATAACGAGAACGCTATTCGCATTTTCCCGCGCATTTGTTGTTGAAAGGAGACGACGTAACACTCTTCACTCTTACTACTTTATATCGTTGCCAGTTAAAAGTTGTTTGCAAACTTGAATTCCAAACTCTAGCAATGTAGACGAACATATTATTATCATTGATAAATAGTATGTCATAATTTTTCGCGCACAATTTTTTCAAACTGCATTGAATAATTTTGAGAATTAGTATGATTTTTGATATTTTTTATCGTTTTTTTTTTATATCAAAAAAGTGCTTAATGTTTAATAATTATTTCTGTGTTTACGTCTGTCACGTAGTTAAAGAATACGAGCAGTAAAGGGTAATGTCAACTGTTCATCATTGATGATTGCACGATTAATGAACGGAACGAGTGTCATGTATGATGACAAAGGGATTGGCAGTAACGGTACAATCATACGTGACATATTTTAGTGCACTTTTACGATCCTGCGCTGCAATTATTAATCAAAGCTGATCGCGCTGTTATAAAACCGTAATGCATGACCGATGGAAACGTCCTCTCGATATAAGCCTATGTTTAATGCACCATTGAATTCGCCATTCGACCGCAAAATTATTAAAAGGATCCGATATCATGAAGAAAAAGCTTAATTACAACGGAATAAAATTACGTTATTTTACATATCTCGAAGAAACACATTAATATATTGATAGTCGAT